AACGTCATAGATAAATGATAGTGTCATTTCTAAAAATAGTATAGGTACAATTGTACAAACTTCTTTTTCTTGATAGCAAGTTACTGAAGATGTATTAAACCAAAAAAAAAAAAAGTTACTGAAGATGAAGACATATAGTGATGCAATGTTTAAATAAAGTCGGTCCTAACTTACTTAGGGTGCACCCTCCTCATCTAATAAAGTCGGTCCTTAGTTAGGGATCTCTATGTGAAAATGGGACTTCAACCCTTCTTGTTCACCTCCTCCTTTTTCAAAGCTCTGTAAAAATGGGACTTCCAACTCTTTCTCATCTTCTCCAATTGATCATCTTTCTTTCTGCTGCTACTTCTCACACGAATGGGTTTTAGTTATTTTGTCCCATTTATATGAGAACCCTTTTGCAAATAGCTTCATTTGGAGCCATGGAGAAGGGTGTGCTTGTGTCTGTTTCAGCAGGAAATGATGGCCCCTCTCTTGGGTCATTATACGATGGAATCCCATGGGTCTTAACCGTCGGTGCCAGTTCAATTGATCGTTCTTTTGCCGGGACTGTGACTCTTGGCAATGGGCTAACTTCTAACCATCACTGGATAGACCATGTTCCCTGCAAGTGCCTTGGTTAATAACATCCCTCTCATTTATAACAAGACTAAGGCAAGCATAAAGTTACAACAAACCATATTGGGGACAAAACCTGCACCAGTTGTTGCTTCCTACACTTCAAGGGGTCCTGCACAGAGCTATCCGGGCATCCTGAAGCCGGATTTAATGGCGCCAGGATCACTAGTCTTAGCAGCTTATTGTTTATTGTTTTGTACACTAACAAAACAACAATGATCACTCCGTACTGTATGATTTCCATCCTCCTCAACCCAAACGAGCGAACCAAATTTGACTGTGCCATTCTTTCCTTCGTGTACTTTATTGTCAAATTGTAGCTCTTCTTTTCATACTTTTTAACAAAAACGATTTTCTCCGGCGAGACAAAGATGGTGGAATGCTCGGGTGGTGTAATCTCAGCCTTGTAAATTGCCGGTCCATTCCACCATCTTTGTCCGCCTGGAGAAAATCGTTTTGTTAAGTAGTATGAGAAACAGAGCTACAATTTGACAATAAAGTACATGAACGAAAAGAATGGCACAGTCAAATTTGGTTCCCTTGTTTGGGTTGAGGAGGATGGAAATCATACAGTGAGGAGTCCTATTGTGGTTTCACCATTTAATGATCGTTTGTTTAGTCCTTAAGATGTTAATGCACGGGCCATTTAGATTGAAGCAATGTATTTGTTAGTGTTGTGTGTTAAAAACAACATATCTTTAAAATACATGATTTTCTCAGGTACTGTGATTTATTTTACAATCTCTACACTCTCATTACATAGTTTTCCTACTCTAATGACAGGGAATCCCGTGTGATTGAGGAATGAATTTCCAAGTAACCGAACAGATGGGTTCCCCCCAAGTGGCTTGCACCATGGCACACATAATGTGAAGTTCAAATTTTACATGCCATGCCGTTTAGATTGAAAATATAAGTGCGAGCATAGCATTCAAGGCAGTGTATTTGCAGTGTTGTTTGTAAAAAAAAAAATACTACATCTTCAACATACATGCTTTTTCTCTAAGTACTGTGATTTATTTTATCATCTTTTTTCTCTCATAAGTGGTAGAGGGATAGAATTTTCCTACACTAGTGACTAGAAATCCCCTGTGGTTGAGGAATGAATTTTTGAGTAACCAAACAGATAACCACCTGCTGTTTAGGATTATACTCGAGGCAACTAGGAACTTTAACTCAGTATGTTCGCCTATAAAACTTTTATCTTTTAGCATTTGATTGAAAGAGAAAATGTTGTTAATGGTTAAAACTAAAAGGGTACAAGATATTATCTGTTGACTGTTATGTGTACATTGATAGCATTTGTAATACAGTCATCCAGATCCCAGTAGTCTTAGAATTATCTTCTCCTGCTTGACGCGCCTGTGAGTTGTACGCAGCGAAAAGTACTTAGAAAGTTTAATTTAAAAACAAATTTTGTGTTTGTCCAACTTTCTTTATTTTAGCAATTAACAAATTAATACCATACAATAAAATAAAGCAAAGTAAAGTTAGAGATGACACCAGGATTTTAGCGAGGAAACTCCAGTTGATAAAAGTATACGTCAACCGTTTGTATATGAAAAACCTCGTGGACTGTGTAGTCTAAAGTAAACCGATCCACTATGCTTGAAACAAAGTACACTGAACTTTGATTCTGGCTCATACCCTATCGTTCTATCAAACACCAACTGTTGACAATCCTCTGACTTTGTGACTCCCCGTCCAACAGCAACTTGACTTTAGGCTTATGCTTGATCTTTATAGAAGAGTAGCAGGTAGATCAGACAACACTCCTCGAATGCTTCAACCCTTTCAAAGTGTGATTGTTTTCACTATTCAACTTCTGGATTTGATATAGAAGAAGATTTGCTTTTGTCTGATCGATGTAGATGCAACTGTATAATCATGATCAAGATTTGAACAACACAACTCTAAACTCAAGTGTTTATGTGTAAATGTTCTAGAAAGACACACAGAAAATTCTCTAAGAATTTCTGAGACAAAAATCTTCCTAAGGCTTTTTGAGAATAACAATCTGATAATGCAAAAGCCATGAATAAACCAATGTATATGACATAGTTTATATAGAGTATAGAATGACCTAATCCCTCTAAAAATAAGGAAAAATTCGTGCATAGGATTTGGTACAATTCTAGACCAATTGGGAAACAATCCAAGATAAGGAAACTGAAGTTGTATAGTGAACATGACTTTTTGAACCTGTTCCATAAATCTTGAACCGGTTCAAGATGAACAGAATATAAAATTTCCACTCTGGTGAAGTTGAACTTGTTCGATTATTCTTGAACTAGTTCAAGATAGACAGAATGTAAAAACTTGTTCCGAACAAAATGGAAATAGTATAATAATCCTTCCTAAAGTGTTGTTCTTACATTTTTCTTCAAAAATCTTCAAGCATGGTAACTTTGAACAACTTCTCAGTTCTGTAGTCTCTGTCGAACTTGATAACTTACACAACTAGTAAAGTGAATTACAACTCGACTTGGACTTGTTTTATCTATGATAATTGCCAAAAATAAAATAATATCTCACAATCTCCCCCTTTGGTAATTTCGTGACAATCTCCCCCTTTGTTTTGTGGAAATGTGAAAGAAATAAAAAGGTAAATGATTTGGCGGGTCCCATTTAAAGAGAGGTGTGAATTGGTTTTTGTTGCATATATATATATATATATATATATATATATATATATTGTATCTTATGGTGATAAGAAGAGAAGGGAGCCGAGGTTAGAGAGAAAAAAGAGAAAGATTGTTTGGCTTGAATTCTTTGGGCTTTAGTTTTAGTCACATGGCTTTGTTTTATGGTGTGGATTGAATTAGTTGTATTGGAGGAAAACTAAAGATAGAGATGGTGGCGGGACCGGCAGATATTTTGGGCCATAAAGTGATGATATCGTCTGACATCCTTTTTGATTTTTGTTTGTCCAAAAGTGTGCGCTTCACATGGGTTTTGATGGGGTGTATATGAAGAAAAAAGTATTGAAAAGATAAAAAAGTAAGGAATAAGATTTTTTTTTGTACGGTGAGATATATTGTGTCGGTGCAAAATTGTCTATATATTTGAGTGATTGTGTGCACTTAATGGTATTCAAGAGAAAGAGAGGAGAAAAAATGAGAGAATGCAGAGAGTGAGCCGAGAGTTTGAGAAACAGATAGAGGGCTAAGAGTTGTAGAGAAGGCCAGGAGTTTGGTGATTTGATGATCCAGTGAGGAGATAATTTATGTTTCAGTGTAGGGTTCTCTATACCTTGAATGGCATAGAGTGGTTTTGCTTCAAATGGTTTTATTAAATGTTTTGATTAAATGCATATTTATTTCCTCTATATACTCACATGAATATGTATGTTTTGTGAAGCTGTTTTGTTAAACCTCCATAAAATTCTTGTTATGGTTTTTCCTATTGGGACTTTTGTCTTCAGGCATTGAAGATGAACGAGGATTGCTAGATTCGGGCTTAGGTTGAAGAGTCGGCGTTGCATGATTTTATTTATTTATTTTGAAGAATTTTGTGTATATTTGAGGAAATTGACTTTGTATAAAAGAGGGCATTTTCTTTTTATGATCCTGGGTGTATTTTGATGTATTTGGATTTGTATAAATTGAGGATTTTGTTAGGATTTCCGGGGCATGACAAGAAAAGTAAATTACATTCATTATTAAAAGCAAAAACATGAAATATGACCACCATTCTTCTAGGATATAAGGCTTGACCTGATTCCTATACACTATCAAGCAACAACTATCAGTGAAGTTTAATAAATAAAAATTTATAAAAACTCCCCCTTAAGTATATATCCAAAAAAAAATATCTATCTGTCTCTCCCCCTTAATACCTTACTGTGTTATCTCCCCCTTTTTGTAACAAATTGACAAAGCACAATAGATAAACAAGAGAACAGAAAAAACATATTCTAAATAAAGCATATTGAAGTCATTGAAAGCATATTCCAAGAATATCCAAAAATAATGACAAGGTGATCAACAATCAAACAAAACATGATGTCATGATGCATGAAAAAATAATATTAAAAGCAACATCATGTCTCCTCAACCACTCAGAGAAAATAAATATCATCTTTAGCCTCCACCACTCTCCTCCTCATCGTCAACCTCCTCATCCTCATCTGTATACTCATCCCCTTCCTCATTTTCAGCTCGTAGAGATGGTTCTGGAGGTGCAGGCCTGTATACATCCTCATCCGGAACCACTGATAGCTATCCTCTCAGCTGAGTCATCTGTAGTTTGAGATCTTGGATCTCAACCATCATCCTATCAAACAACGAATTCTGATGTTGAAGTAGATGAGAATATATGACGTTGGCATATGCTCTCGTGAAAGTTCCTTTTGGAGGAAATAGCTGAGTAATCTCTGAAACCTATGACGACCCCTCATCAACAGTTTTCCTGGCTTTCCTAGTATTCTCCCGAGCAGTCTTTGACTTGTTCAAAGTACAAGAATCCAATTCAATCATGATAGGCTTATGGTAAGCCTTTGGAGGAATCTGCACATTCTTCTTCTTTTTAAGGATTTCCATGATGATCATTGGAAATAGAGAAGAATACTTGCGCAAGTTTTTCTTGTAATGAGCTATCATAAGCTGCACAATATAGTCAGCAAGCAAAATATTCTCATTATTAGAAAGAAAATAAAGCAGTAATTGGGGCAAGAATAGCTGCAAGGCCCCTCTGGATAATATCATCATAAGCTGATCGGGTCAGCACCGATCTGGAGAAGAAATTTGTGTCAAAAACTGACTCATGGTCCATTTTCATATGTGCATATCTAGGCGTGGGCTTGTCACGCTCTCGAGCTGGCTGGTGTGGTAGAGATGGTAATGGTGAATGCTCAGCCTCAGCCTATGATGGAGATGGAGATGGTATAAACGCAGGCTTAGCCTCAGAAATAGATGAAATATGATCAGCCTCAGCCTTATGAGAAGGTGACTGAGGTGGAGTAGGCTCTAATGGCTCCTCCTGTATATGAGAGGGCTCTGCTGGCTCCTCTATCCTAGGCCTGATACGTCTCTAAGGCCCGTGTTGCCTCTTGGCAACAGTCTTGCATTTAGTCATGGCCTGAAAAATAATTTAAAACTTGCAAGGGGAGTCAGTGCCAGAATAAAGAATTGAAAGCACAAAGTAGAAACATGCATGTCAAATAAGATAGACAAAACATATATGACATGAATCTATACAAGTGACAGGAGGTGAACATGCAATGCAATATGAGTATGAAATGCATCCAATGTGGAATATCACAGGCATTGGGTATGAATGAGATAGCATGGACACAAGATAAGATACATGGAATGTGTGTATGAAATATGTGAAGTTCGATCGATCACAAAAAATGTGAGATCGATCTCAAAACTTCGATCGATCTGAGAAACTGAAAAAGATGAGTTCGATTGATCTCTCAAGATCGATCTAAGATAGAAGTTCAATCAATTAAACTATGCGAAGATAAAAATTGAAAGGTCACAGATCTGTGACGTGGATGGCACGGGGACTTCATGAACAGTGTCGTGGGCCCATCAACACAACAATTCCTCAATTCTACTCACTTTACAAAGCTCATACTCCCACAAAACAAATCAAAACTCAAATATATACAAATATATACAAACACATATATACACATATATACACAATGTTTCAAGCTTCATCAATGGTGGATTTTATCATCAAAATATCATGGATCTAGCATGTAAAGTACGAATACATAAAATAGAAGCTTAAATCACAAAATGGATCTCGGATCTCACCTAAAATACAAGAGAAGTGGATGAGATGCGAAGGGGGTGATGGAATGCGAGAGAAGAGAGAAGTCAACGCTCATCGGATCTCGCCGGAGATTCGCCGGAGAAGATGATGAAGATGGGTGCACAGTGGTGACGGGAATGAGGGACAAGGGTTTGGAGGGTTGGATCGATCTAATGAATCGATCTTGAGACCCTTAGGTTCTATTTTTTAAAAACTTTTCCCGTTCAGTTCGATCGATCGAACTGAGATTTCAGATCGATCGAACTGTGATGATCTCTCTTCAAAGTATTTTTGGAATTTTTGTAATTTTTGAAAAATTAAAAACTAAAATTAAAAAATTAAAATTAAAATTAAAAAATAGAAAATATTTTTTTGAAAAATAAGAGTAAAAATAAAATTAAAAAAAATAAAATCTTTTTGGATTTTTGAAATAAATAAAGTAAAATCCTTTTTTTTAAAAAAAAAATAAAAATAAAAATAAAATAAAATCTTTTTGGGATTTTTGAAACAGAAAATAAAATAAAAATATTTTTGGATTTTTAAAATTAAAAAGTCAAACAAAGTCAAAGATGGTGAGATAAAGAACTGAGATCGATCTGAACAAAATGTTCGATCGATCAGACAGAGATAAAAAATATGCAGGTTTTTGGTTCAAAAATTTGGTTAAGTGTTGGAACTCAAGATCAATCAAACTTTAAAGTTGGATCGATATAAGGTCTTCTGATCGATCTAAGAATAAGTTCGAACGATGGGACAGAGAGGTGATTTGGATGCAGGTGGAAGTTCGATCGATCGAACTCTCATTTGAGATCGATCGAACGAACTTATGCAAAATGCTCAATCACAACATAAAAGTTCATGCAATCCTAATCACAATTCCTAGCAATGCTTATGAACCAAAAATAAGTATCTAGACTTCGCAAGAAATGAAATTTAAGATAGAAATGGGGGAGGAATAGGGTTTTGACACCCTACGAAATGTCGTGCTAGTCTTTAACGTCTCTAGCAAGACATTGGGCTCTTTTAGACCGGATCAAAGATCTTGTAATGCATCCCCTCCTTGTTGGGGTGATAGATACTTTAAACTCCACCCAATAAATGGTTCTTTAAAGAACTTGTTGGATTAAGCTCAAAGAAACTTTTGATCCCTTGTCAATGCAATCACAATCTTTAGGCTTCCATGCCCTTTCAAGGCAAGAATTTGAAACAAGACTTTGAGAATGCAAGGTTAAAGATGATCCCTTTGAAGTTTTGGTCTTACACAAAATCTCACTTCCTTGACATTGAAGATCATAACATTTATCTACAACATTAACCTCTCCTTCATATTTGTCAAATGAGTTGGGTGTGGGATTGAAGATATTCAGCTTCACCTTCAGGTGGCCAAATGAGATCTTCATTATCCCCATCCTACAATTGATGTTGGCATTAGCAGTTGCCAAAAAAGGACGGCCAAGGATAACGGGAATTTGGCTTTTAGGATTGGGGACCGGTTCCGTGTCAATGACAACGAAATCAACAGGGAAGAAAAATTTGTCAATCTTTATCAAAACGTCCTCAATTATACCCCTAGGCTTCTTAATGGATTGGTCGGCAAGTTGTAAAACTACCAACGTCAATTTCAATTCACCTAGGCCCAATTTGACATAAACCGAGTATGGAAGAAGATTAACACTTGCTCCTAAGTCAAAAAGTGCCTGATTAATGATACGATCACCAATAATGCATGAAGTAATAGGTGAACTGGGGTCCTTAAACTTTGGTAAAGTGTTATGTTGCAAAATTGAGCTCACTTGCTCGGTTAAAACCACTTTTCTTGGTGCTTGGCTCTTGTTCTTCCACTTTTGGGTGCACAAGTCTTTTAAGAATTTGGCATAAGCCGGAATTTGCTTGATTGCATCCAAAAGTGGAAGATTGACTTTCACTTGCCTAAACATTTTCATGATTTCATTGGTTTTTGCCTTTTACTTGTCTTTTGAAATGGATTCTTTTAAGGCATCTGAAAATGGAGCTTTGGGCTCAAACACTTTTTCAGCATTTTCTTTAGAAAACTCTTCAACACAAGAATTTTTCAAATCACTTTGTTTCAAATCATTTTTCAATAAAACCTTTTCAAATTCATTTTTTGGCAAATCTTTTTTCAAATCATTTTCAAAATCATTCTTCAAATCACATTTTGAAGCTTTCTCATTCACAAGATCATGTATATGCAATGAAGGAGGAATGGAATGTGAAACGGGACGGGTGACAACTTGAGGTTGCACCGGTTCACTCTCTTCATTAAACTTTTCGACTTGATTGTCCACAATCCTACCACTCCGTAAGGTAGTCACCGCATTAACATGCTCAATGGTGTGCCCTTCCGATGAGGAATGGGTTTCCACAACACATTGTTGCTTTGGTGGGGCATTCATAGGCATCTTTCCCTTCACTCTTGCATTAAGAGTGCTTGTTATTTGCCCTACTTGGGTTTATAGCTTCGCAATAAATTGAGAGTGGGAATGAAGCAATTGTGTGTTTGCCTCAAGAGTGCCCAAAGCATTCAAAACTTTTTCTTCAAAGGCAGGACTTTTAGCATTTCCTTGGGAATAAGATTGGTTAGGAAAATGAGAGTTAGCAAATTGATTCCCTTGTGATTGATAAGGTCTATAACCTTGGGATCCTTGGTTTTGAAGTGGAGGTGGAATGTACTTCCCTTGAAAACTGCCTTGGGAAGGGTTTGAGCCATCTCCTTGGTTTTTCCAAGAGAAATTCGGATGATTTCTCCAACTTGAATTATAATGAGTACCATTAGGATTGTTCCCTTGGTTCACAAAGGCTGCATTGACTTGTTCATTAGGTTCATTATGCACTTATCAATGAAGACAACGAGAAGTAGAATGAAGAACACTAGAGTAAGTCATACATATTTCATTTGATGCACGATGAGAATGGTTAGGGAAGGAAGATACTTGGTTCGCTGAGTTTTGGTTAATCAAAAATTGATCAAACCTTTGAGATAAAGACTTCATTTCGGTGGCTATTTCATTTGAATGGTCGACTTAATGTAAGCCAACACTCTTCCTACCTTGTGAATTTCTACCATTCTTGGATGATGATGTTCTTTGTAAAGAATTTTCACTCATGCTCTCATAAAGATGCCATATGTCATCCTCATGCCTATCAATGTATGAGCCACCCATGGAAGCATCAACCATACCTTTGTAATTGTCTGATATGCTCTCAAAGAAATATTGAACTAATTTCCATTTGGGCATGTCATGATGTGGACACTTCCTAAGCAATTCATTAAAGCATTCCCATGCCTCATGAAACGTTTCTCCATCTCCATGTGAAAATTCCTGAATTGAGGTTCTCATGGCATTGGTCTTAGAAACCGGATAATACTTCTTTAAGAACTCTTATTGCATTTCTGCCCAGGAAGTGGTTGAAAAAGGCCTAAGATTGTTAAACCAATACTTTGCCTTGTCTTTTAAGGTGAATGGAAAAAGTTTGGGTCTTAAGACCTCTTCTGGCATGTCCGTATATTTTACGGTGAAACATACTTCTAGAAACTCATCCAAATGCTTGTAAGGTTATTCACTTGGAAGTCCATGATAGTTAGGAAGCATTTGAATGGTTTGTGGCTTAATTTCATAGTGATGTGCTCTAAATGGTGGCAATTGAATACATGTGGATGCATTGTATTCATTAGGCACATAGTGATCTCTTAAAGTAAGTGGAGGATTAATAATTTGAGGTGCAACATGGGCACCTTGATTTTGATTTCCTTGAATGATGGGAGGTTGTGGAGCATACATTGACCTTGGCATTCCAAATGGAACTTGGCCTTGTTGTT